ACCCTAAACCCTAAACCCTAGACCCTAAACCCGCGATTCAGAAAATTAAAAAGGATTTCTTCCACAGCGAAAATGGATCAAATGGAGTCACTCAGACAAGAATTCAAAGAAGGTGAGTTCTTTGCTTTGCTGCTCCGTGTGAAGAGGGCCCAAGCTGGAGGGTTTAGCGTTTGGGGTTTAGGGTTTAGGGTTTAGAGTTTAGGGTTTAGGGTTTAGGGTTTAGGGTTTAGGGTTTAGGGTTTAGGGTTTGCTGCAGGAGAAATACCTGAAGAACTTCTGGCCTACCACTGCAAAGACAATGAAGGGCTCAACGGCGAATGGATCATTACGGAGGACCAGCGGTGAGACCAGTGGTCACCACAAACCCTAAACCCTAAACCCCAAACCCTAAACCCTAAACCCTAAAACCGAAACCCCAAACACTAAATTGTTGGCTTCAGACTGCGAAAGTCAAGGGCTGTCGCGCCATTCGCAGGCCTCTGAGCTTCGCACGAAGCGCTTCTTGCGCACAAACGGCAGGCCCTAGGGTTTAGGGTTTAGGGTTTAGGGTTTAGGGTTTAGGGTTTTGCGCAGATCTGACAGCATGACGGATATAGTGGAGTTCTTCGGCGTCGATATTCATGATGGAGCTGCTTGGGAGTTGCTGCTGCACTTGAACGCGCCGCGGTTCCGGCTGGTCTACGAAACCCCAAACCCTAAACCCTCAAACCCTAAACCCTCAAACCCTAAACCCTCGAACCCTCAACCCACAGCCCCCACCCTAACCCTCATTTCCCACTCAGCCCTCCGCGCCGATTGCCCCCGCCACATCCTCTTCGATGGAATTCCCAAGCCCCACGTCCCGGTAAACCCTAAACCCTAAACCCTAAACCCTAAACCCTTCCCGCGGCTGGCGGCGTCTCAAGTTTGAACGTCCCTGCCCTTGCCTGAGGTCCAGCGCGGAAGCCCCAAACCCCAAACCTAAACCCCAAACCCCAAACCCTAAACCCCAAACCCTAAACCCTAAACCCTAAACCCTAAAC